TTCACAGATCGTGTCATTTTGAAGCATTAATATGTTGGCATTTTGTACGGAATCGATCAGTTCGCTAAAATTATTACAACGTATTAGTAACAATTAAAGCACCGTTACATTTTGATTCACAGATCGTGTCGACAGGGCCGGTCAGGGAGCCGGTCAGGGCCGACAGGGAGCCGGTCGGCCGAGCGGACAGCACGCTGTACTTGTGATCCTGTGGTCCTGGGTTCGATCCCAGGCGCCGGCGAGAAACAATGGGCAGAGTTTCTTTCACCCTATGCCCCTGTTACCTAGCAGTAAAATAGGTACCTGGGTGTTAGTCAGCTGTCACGGGCTGCTTCCTGGGGGTGGAGGCCTGGTCGAGGACCGGGCCGCGGGGACACTAAAAAGCCCCGAAATCATCTCAAGATAACCTCAAGAAGATAACCGTAATATTGACGTTTTCTGTGCATCGGTCTCGATTAGGTTAGATGGGTTGGTAGGGTTCGTAGGCTTCTGGGGCTCGGATTCATCAAGCAGTTACGCAAGTTCTTATGAAACTCTTAAGATTTGTTTTTATGAAACGTGTCGTTCTTATCACCTTGGCTGGATGCGTCGCTATTCAACAAACCTATTTACGAACGTGGATCCTCCTTAGGATGTCAATGGTGCCTCCAGAGCACTCGTAACTTTACGTAAACCGTACATAAGTTAAGAAGTTTTCTCGACTACATAATCGTGAACTCAAAGTGCCTTCGGCGGCGATTCTCATCTTGCCAGCAATTTATGTCTGTGAATCATATATATTGCCAGCATTATATATGTCTTCGCGTGTCTGTGAATCGCATTAAATATGTATTTTATGAAAAGGCAAATAAATATTATAATAGCAAGTTAGTATGTAAATAAGTCGATATTATCTGCTAATCATTTAAACTAACTGAAGCCAATTAGTTTAGAAGATTAGAAGCTCTATATCCCATTTGTGTCTGTAACTTGTACTAAATATATATTTTGTGAAAAAAATAATAAAAATTAGCATAGCAAGTTATTATATAAATAGTAAGTCAATATTAACTGATATTCATTCAGACTAAGAGTTCAAGTTCAAGTATGTTTATTGAGACAAGAAAGAAATACTTCTCAAAGGGATAGAGTAGCTTAGGCTATTTCTACCCCCCTTCTAAACAGACTAAGAGAAACCAATACAATCAACGTGTTTATCCACTCCAAATTTTGTGCTGGTTAGAAATAGCTCACCCATAATTAGAGCTGTCAGGTATTTTAGTAATTAGAAGCCTACATATTAATTTATTCATGGCAAATTAAAGAGTGAAGACTAAGCCTGTGAATTTTAATTATGAAAAAAGTCTAATCTAACGTTTTGAATATTTGCCGCATTCACATACTGTTTATATTTTGAAATTCTTTACTCTTAGTACTGTATATTATATTTGTACACCTATTATAAGTAATGAAGACAAAATCCTTACCTAACCTCACCTTGATCAATAAATTGGATTACAGTGCAGATTATAATGTGTCATAATACTTTCAATAATTTATATAAAGTACATTATTGTTCTTAAAGTAATTAATGTTTTTGTAGATCCTACATTTACCAATAATATTTGTACCTTGACACAGTATTATAAACAGTGCGAAGCCTGAATTACAAATTTAATAAAGATGATACTGATAAAAAATATTATTAATAATATTCATTGTTATTTATATAATTCAATATACGTTAGAACATGTTAGGATGATTGATTAATAAGTACATAAGTTTAAAAGAAAAGTTATGTGTTTATTATTGCATAATGCTTAAGTGTGTTACTACTGTCCACCATTACCGTTCTTTTAACTTTTTCTTCACGTTCTTGGATCATCTTGATTTTTGTCTTTATTTCAAATTTATTTGATATATAACATCAAGAAGAGTTTTTCGGTGGCCCTCTTCGCTATCTCATCAACTGCCTCGCTTAACAACATTCTCACATGTGAAGGGATCCACGTGAATATTACTTTATGTTCATTCATTTGTTATTATTAGTTTCTGAATATGCTCCCTACATTCGCCCACAATATGCTGATATACTGGTCTTCTACTATTTAAAGACATCAACGCTCCACTGTCAATAAAATCAGACATCTTTACCACATTTGACTACTTCCATCAAGCCTGCAAATACAGGTTGAAGTTCAGTTTGTGTTGAAGAGATATTATCAGTTAATTAAGCAGTGCCCAATAACAGTATCTACAGTGTATCAGTGTATTCCCTACTCAACTCCACCGCCTGCCTTTCCATCCCTAGCTACTGACCCGTCACAATAAATATTGTAGGGGTTTTCTTTAGGTAATTTTCTAATTATACAGTCATATGTTGCCCTCAACTCTGCTATCTCATACATACTCTTTTTTTTCACTTGCATGGAAATATTTACCACTTCTACGTTACATTCCTCCCGTAGTGGTGGTGTTAATTGTTTCTTAGGCAACGCAATACATTCCTTGTATCATACT